GAGCTAGCTTCTGTAATAGAATGAGAAACCGCTGTGATAAATCATTTCACTCGGAAAGGGCGGGCACTTCCCGTTAGCCTTTCTGATGGCTGATGGTTCCCTGGAATTCTTCTAGGAAATACTCAGAAGGTTTCTGAGTGCTGTGGAGTAAGTAGGATGGTGCTGCAGCTGTAACAAATCATCACCCACAAAATCGATTTTCAAAATCCCAGCCAAAGGAGTCTTTTCTGCACCTGCTGAGGATCGCAGAGCCCTGAGGAGAAACAGGATGCCCCCATTCCCTGAAGTCCCATCGTGGGGCCTCTGCTCACCCTTCTCAGGCTTCTTGGCTATCTTCGGACTCACATCTTTTCAGAAAAGATACCTGCTTGTTTTGCTTTTCAGAGTTAGGCACGCAATACCAAATACTTTTTTTTTTTTTTTTTTTTTTTTTTTGAGACAGAGTCTTGCTCTGTTGCCAGGTGCCAGGCTGGAGTGCAGTGGCACAATCTCGGCTCACTGCAACCCCTGCCTCCCGGGTTCAAGAAATTCTCCTGCCTCAGCCTCCCAAGTAGCTGGGACTACAGGCACGCACCACCACGCCCAGCTAATTTTTGTATTTTTAGTACAGACAGGGTTTCACCATGCTGGCCAGACGGTCTCGATCTCTTGACCTCATGATCCGCCCGCCTCGGCCTCCCAAAGTGCTGGGATTACAGGCGTAAGCCACCGCACCTGGCCCATTTTTTAAGGTATGTAAAATTTTATTTTATTTTATTTTTCTGAGACAGAGTTTCACTCTTATTGCTCAGGCTGGAGTGCAATGGCATGATCTTGGCTCACTGCAACCTCTGCCTCCCAGGTTCAAGCAATTCTCCTGCCTCAGCCTCCCAAGTAGCTGGAACTACAGGCACACTCCACCATGCCCAACTAATTTTTGTATTTTTAATAGAGATGGGGTTTCACCATGTTGGCTAGGAAGGTCTTGATCTCTTGACCTTGTGATCCGCCCTCCTTGGCCTCCCAAAGTGCTGGGATTACAGGCGTGAGCCACCGCGCCTGGCCCACCAAAAGCTTTTAAGTGGCTGATAACAGCATTTACCCAGCATTCACTAAGCACTGGCCTCTGTGCAAAACGTCCAGTAGGTTCTCCTTTGTTGTTCATGTGCACCAGTTTGTTATGAAGGGTCCGCAGAGGATACAGAGGAAAAGACTCCACGGCGAGGCTGGTGGGTGGGTGCCGGGCTTCCGCGCCCTCTCCAGCCCTGCCACCCCCAGGAATCTTGACCTGCTCAGCTGTCCTGAGCTCCATTTATGCTCTCTTCACACCAGCGTGGGGCTTAGGTAACCTGAAGGACGGAAGAAGTGTTGGATCTTTTTTAAGCGAAGGAAGAACCTGAGACTTAGCCCTGGCAACTTGGTCAAGGCCACCCACTTCCACAGCGGAGGCGGGATTTGAACCCAGACACAGCACTGGGATTTGCCTGCATGAGGTGAAGATGAGCTTGGCCGGAAGCCTCCCTTTCCACGTGTGCCCTGTCTCTTCCGCTGTCAGAGGGGACATTACCCATCAGGCCTGGGCTCCTGTGCCCTCTTCTCCCAAGACCCTCGCCCTAGAGGTGAGGGGGCAGCATGGGAATCTCCGTCAAGAGTCACCGTGGCTTCCTAGAAAGTGCGGGGTGGCTTCAGCCCCTGCTCCACTGCAACAAGGAAGCATCTCCCATGTCCTACAGATGGAGACGTGCCCCAGGAAGGCGGACAGGCCAGACTTAATTCACCACAGGAGAGAGGCGCTGGAGCCCACAGCCTGGCTTCCCCGCGGCCCGCCGACCTCCATGGGAACAGTGCAGGCCAGGACTCCTGTGTGCATGAGTCCAGGGTCAGCTCCGTCTCACTCTGTGACCATGGGAGTGTCACCAAGCACCTGTGATCTACGCAGATGCCGTGGAGGTCACGGCTCACGCCCTGCACAGGAGAAGCATGGCAAGTGGGCCCCTCGGGTCTGTTTTCAACCTTTCACTCTGCATCTTGCTGGCCTCTGCGCTTCCGGAAGTGCCCCGTAGGGTGCAGGCTCCACGCCCGTGACCGCCTCACACAACATTCGTGCCTCTTCAAAAGTTACCATCTCCGTTTCCTTCTGCTGAGATTAATCTAACCAAGGAAATAGCTGATGCGTCTTCATGATCCAGTGGCATCTGCGTTTTCACAGCGTTTCTGTTATTGGTTTCTGGGAAAAGTAGTTCAGGTCTGGTGCCCTGAGCAGCATGCGGCCCTGGGAGCATGTTACACAAAGTGGGGCACCCACCCTCAAGTTGGGTCCCTCTGACTCCAGGCGAGTCTTATAGAGACACCTCACTTACTCATCCAGCCTTCACACATTCGTGTTGGGGCGGGTGGTGCCATGTGAGGTAGAGGCCCAGAGAAGGTGAGCCCCTCAGATGAAAAGTAAGTAGCAAGAAATGTTTTTTTGAGGGACAGGTTTATTTTGTCTTCATTAGAATATCATCACTCTTTTATTGATGTTTGCTATTTTCAAAGTATGAAGTTTGGTTTATTGGTGACTGTGAATTTTTAAATCTAATTTTGCCTTGGACAAAATTCACGATTATCCAAAGGAAGAAAAAGCATTCTTTGGATGCCAAAGTGCAGGAAAGACGGGTTTGATTCTGAGACCAGGGAGCACAGGTTCTGCGTTCCAGGCGTCTCCAGGGGCGACGCAGCCACATCCTGGGATCACACCTGTGCCTGGCGGCCACTGCCACATACAGAACTGCAGGAAGACGAAGTGGGGAAGGGAGGGCTGGGCCTGCACCATGTTGCATCTAATTAAAAATCATCTTATCGCCATGAATCTTCTTTCAGCAGCACAACAGGCTAATTGCACTGATTATGAATTCTTCATTATATTGTGAAACCGGTAAGAATCGATGTTCATTGTGAAACTGGGTTAACAAAAGGTTGATGCCTTTTTCACAGTGTGTTACATATGTAGACAGTATCTTCCTGGAAGACAGATGAGAGCTTCAAATAACTCCCTTTTGTACCCCAGCTGATAGGACTGCACGAGTCGCTACACAATCCAGTCTTTACCGAATGGACCGCTTCCTAACGACAGGACTGATCGCCACACCCATCCCACAGCCCTATCATCAAACAGCGCTCTGTGGCAGAACCAAGCCTTCTGAATAATGCAGGACATACTGCCATTGTAGGGCTTATCCTAAAGGGAGCTGATTTTTCTAATAGCTCAGAGTTTGGATGTATAGTAAATGTGTGACCCACATCACAAGTGCACTGTGAATGTGCTGCAAGCCCAGAGCAGGCTCCCTGGGGAGTCATCTGAACAGAGCCCCCAGCACCCTCGCCCCTGCAGGGACTTACCTGAA